GCTCTCCCTCCTGGGAGGCAGCGCTCAATGAACCAGAGGCATCCAAACGCCTGCCTCAGGCTTTACTGTGTTACCGCTTCAGAGACAGAAACGACCAGAAGCTGAACTCACCCTCCTCAGCAGCTGCTGGAGGAACCCACAGGGCAGGACCAGCACTACAACCCCGAGGACCGGCGTCAGGTTGCCCACGGATCACCTCATGCTACCTGCTTCCCAGGTGAACAGAACCTACCTGTTGCGTTAGACAGGGCCAACGACTCCATGGAGCCCCGAGGGGTCTGCTCAGTGGGCGTCATGTCCTCCGTGTATTTCAGGGAGCCGACGGGGTGACGGGTCCGACACTGCTGAGCGGGCATATCCCCTTCCTCCTCCTCCTCGTATTTGGGGACTTGGATGTTGCCCCGGGTTTCGCTAAAGCTCTGGCTGGACATGTCGCTGTAGCTCTCCTGGGACCTCAGCCTGCCCGGGTAATAGTCCTCTCGACACTCCTTGACGAAGCTGCCCCCGTGCCCCTTCATGGCCAGCGACGAGCTCCTTTTGGGGTTGCTGAAGTGCTTGCCCCACACGTCAGGCTGCGCCCCGGCCCCTTGGCCTCCCGGGCTGTAGGAAGTTCTGATGTTGCACTGGCTGAGGAGCTGCAGAGGACTCTGCGACGGCTTCTGCTCCATCGGGTTCCCGAAAGGATAGGGCTCGTCCCGGCTCCTCCAAATAGGGTCCCGGTTGAGGCTGGGCGTCTGGCTGGACAGGCTGAGCAGGTCCATCTGCATTGACAGGGGGTCCACGTCGGCGGACAGCAGGTTGGAACTCACCTGCAGCTGGCTGTGCTGGGTCAGCACGGGCTCCTCTGTCTTGCCCTTGTTCTTGCCGATCTTGGCGCTGCGCCGGGACTCCTTGGCCCTGGCGTTCTGGAAAGCTGAATCCGATGAGTCAGAGCCATTGGGGTCCTCACCAGCACTGCAGGCCCGAGAGCAGAATATCTGGCCCTGCTTCGGGAGGAACGGCCGCCCCAGAAGGGACTTTTTGCAGTGAGCACAGCAGAAACAGGTCTCAGTGGCGTGCCAGTGTTGGCCGTCATATGTCATCTGACCTTGGTCGATCCCTGCGGAAAGAACAGACACTGCTCAGAGTCCTTCACTACAGCCTGAACACACAGCACCCTGGTTTGCTCTGGGCTCCAGATGCGGCAGAAGGCACCGTCCATAAATCAATGATCAGGTCACCACGCAGATGGCATCCACAGCCCACTACGGGAGCTCCCTTGCTCTACCAGTCAGCTCCTTCTTAACTCATTTGCTCTGGGCGTGGAGAATCCAGATCACAATGCCCTCTGCAGGGTTCCTTCTGTCAGGAACACACTTCTCTCAAACAGCAGTAACGATAACACACATATCATGAAGCGCTGCATCAGGGACTTTATGTATGGAAGCCCACTCAATTCCTCACCTGTATGAAGTGGGTTTCTACTACGATCTCCTTTTGTCAGATGAGAAAACAAAGGCACAGAGAGGTTCAGCAACTTGCCTAAGGTCATCAAACTAAGAAGCAGAGACAGTATCTGTACCCAGGACGTCTTGCTCCCAACCATGACCCTGATACTATTTCCTTCACCCTCTTGAGGTGTCTGCTCAAATGCCAGCTCCTTGGAGTGGTCTTCCTGTCCACCCTAACAGTATGTTCTCCACCACTCCCCTCCCTTATCTGCTGCATACGTCCTCACAGCACCGATGTCACCTGGGGAACTGTACCACCACATGAGGGTGCTTCTTTATAATCTGTCTCCTCTACTAAATGTGAAGCTCTAGGAGCACAGGGTCATTACACTTCCGTGCTATCTCCTGGACCCAGGGGCTCTTCCTACGGTGCTTGGATGCAGGACTGAATTCCCACCACCAACGTATACCATTCCAGTGGGCAATCCACTGTAGCAGCTCAGCGGGAAAGAAAAAAGTAGATTTAGCTCTTGGTAAGGAACAGTTTGGAGGTAGCTGGCCAGATACTGCCCCTCCGTAAGCATGCATACCCTTTGCTTAACTTCATCGGGAAAGGAAGACACACGTTTCCACCCTGTGTTTCCATGGCCCCTGCTGTTCTTCTCACCATCTCCTCTGCCTCTTCTGGTTATAGGGCTGTATCTCCCTGCAGAACCCCACCTGCCCCCACTCTAAGACATGAACCCCAACTGTGACTGGTTCAGGGGTGGGCATGTGACCTTCGCTGGGCCAGTCAGAGTCACCTGGGACTTCTGCTAAGAAGTCAAAGAAGTTCTCCTTCTACTGCAGGTGCTAAGCTGCCCGAATGGAAGCCAGAGGATGTTGAGCTCCATGGGGGGAGCTCCCCTTGCCTGAGAATTCAGTCACAAGTAACTGGCACAGTGGTTAAGTGTTTGGCTGCTAACCAAAAGGTCCACAGTTCGAATCCACCAGCTGCTCCCTGGAAACCCTGTGGGGCAGTTCTACTCTGTCCTATGGGGTCACTATCAGTTGGAATTGACTCGATGGCAATGGGTTTTTCTGGTTTGGAAGGGAACCTTTTCAAGAGTCCTGATGCATAATGATACAAGTCTTCCCAGAAAAGTAATACTAATGTGAACACCACCTTCAGTGACTGAGAACTTCTGAGCCTGAACATTTACAGAGTAACTTCGAGAGACCTGTCTGGAGAAGCAGAGGTCAGGGAACGGAGGACTCCAGACAGAGAGAGAGAGAGAGCCACAAGAACAGAAGACAGAAGGGACGGGGCCTTGCCTTCCCCTTATCCTGGCCCTTCCCCTATTCCTTCTATGTCACTGGAGCTCACGGGGAGAGACGTTTGAGGTAAACTACGGGGAGTCTGTTTATTTGAGATCCTGCCCCTAGGGACTGAAAAAAAACAAACCAAACCAATTCCAACTCAGAGCGACCATATAGGACAGAGTAGAACTGCCCCATAGGGTTTCCAAACCTGTAATCTTTATGGAAGCTGACCGCCACATCTTTCTCCCTTGGAGTGGCTGGTGGGTTTGAACTGCTGACCTTTCAGTTAGCAGCCAAAGGCTTAACCACTATGCCACCAGGGGGGATTATCAGAGGGACAGGAGCAACCATAGGGCCACCTCATGGTGAGAGGGACACTGTGAATCAGCCGCCCTCTCAGCACCTGAAGAGTAAGAAAGTGCCAGGGCTAAAAAACAAACTACCCAGAGCTGGGGGATCTGCCCCCACCCCTGGGAGGAAGGGGGAGCCTAGAGGAGCGGGGTCAAAATTCTGTAGCAGTTACAAGTAAGGCTTCTGGAGTCAGCTCCGTCCCATTTCGTCAGCTAAAGCTCAGTCTAATGTGCTTACAAGGACCACGGACGCTGAAACCCATTTGCCTGGGTTCACATCTTCGCTCTGCCCTCTTCTAGCTGTGTGACCTGAGGCCCGCTGCTTCATCTCTCCATGCCTCAATTTCACGCCTCAGCAGTAAAACAGGGATAATCGTAGTACTTACCTTACAGGGTTACTGTGAGGATTAAATGCGTTAACACGCCTGGGGCTCTCAGACCTGTGCCTGTGAACTATTCTTAGAGGTTTTATTTTTTTATTTTCATTGGGTCTGAATGACTGTCTCCCTCTTTGCTCTGAGGGTTGCTGCCAGACTGGAACCCAAGAAAGAACTCTGAGGCTGGCTCACACGGCCCGCCTTCCCTTCTGCCCCTCCTTGTCACAGGCCAAGTCTCCAGAGGGCTCGAGCGGGCACCCCTGGTGGCCTTGAGTCCTCTGCGGTGAGCTCCTGCTTGGCCCAGTGTCCAGGCAGCTGGAGCCTGACCCACACTCTCTGACAAGTGACAGGGGCCCAGTTCTTATGGCCTGGCCTCCCCCAGCTGCTCTCCTGCTTCTCCAGGAAACATGTTCATCGCTGCAGCAGGGACCTGGTTTCTGGGGACGGGGGCCTCCCAGAAGGATAGGCTGGGGGTGGGGGTTGATAAAGCAGCCCAGCAGGCAGTGGAACGTGGTCCCTGATAAACATCAGCCATGTCGGATGGCCCTCTGAACTGTTCCTGAACTCTAAACATCTGGCAAACGCTCTGTCGTCCAACATCTGAGCCATCCTTTTGATTCCCTCCCTAAGCCTTTAAGCACTTCTCTGAGGTGCCTGCGTCCACTGCCGCTCCAGCCTCCATCTGTTTATAGGACTGTTTACTCTGCCCCGCGCAGGCAAAAGCACTGTTGCCCTGGCAACGGCCGCCTGATGCAGGGTCTGCTCGGAGCGGCTGTATAAATATGGAATGTTTGTACAGTACGGTCAGCATGTGACCGTCCAGCGACCGTGGAACGCACAGTACACAGAGTGGGCCCTTTCACTGCCGCAGGAAAATTACATTTTGCAGAAAAGTGAATCCTTTAAAAAAAAAAATTCAGGGCCATTTCATTTCATTTCAGCGAATGCAGGCCACAGCAGCTCTCTTCTCTGGTGAAGCACTGACGCCTTTTTTAGGTTTACAAGGAAAGGAGGAGGGGAAGCCGATATATGCTAACTGTTGTTGCTGTGTGATGTCCAGTCGATTCCAACTCACAGAGACCCTACAGGACAGAGTACAACTGCCCCATGGGTTCTCCTACACTGTAATCTTTATGGGAACAGATCTCCAGGTCGTTTCTCCTGTGGAGCTGCTGGGTGGGTTTGAACCGCAAGCCTTTTGGGTTAGCAGCCCAGCGCTTACCCATCACACACCAGGGCTCCTTACATGCTAACAGCTGTGGCTGAAATGCATGCCCAAGAGGCCACAGAGGGAACAGAAGGACCTTCGGAGGTGGGCATGGCGGAGCAACAGACACTTTTGATCTCTCCCAAGCCACTGAGTGAAAATTCTAAACAGCAGTTTCTAGACAAGCCTTTAAATGTCCACAGAAAGGGACAGAAGAGACAGAAATACTAAAGGGAAGGGCTGCTGCCGCTGTAGGCGAGTCTTCTGTACGCTCAGTCCCTCTCCTCTGAGCACCCGCCGACTTGCAGACTCAGGATCCACAGGGGAGCCATACTGTATGAGCGAGCTACGCCATTTTCCCTGACACTGTCCCATCCTTCCCTTCCGCACATGCCCAGCTACCTGTCAAGAGGGAGATCCTATTTCCTAACTCGTAGGAAAGTTTGTCTGTTTTTCTGTCTGTCTGCTTTGGTCTTGGAGAACAGAAAGCTCCTGGGTCCTTGGTCAAGACTTCAGGCTTTGAGAGGGTGAGGGTCTTAGGGGCAAGGGGACCTGTGCGTCACCCAAAGCCCCAGAATGGAATGCAGCTGCACAAAGGTCTCCACAGCAGTGCTTACCCCTGGCCCTGACACAGGACTCCAGATCAGAAAGCCTCAGAGAGGCAGGCCTGAGTCTCTGGGATGGGACTCCCCAGTGACAAATACCACTGAGCAACACAGTCGGTCGCTTGTGTACAAAGCTGTGGTTTTTATGAGCACATAAAGCTCTCTGAATCACTAGCTAATTTTTCATTTAAATATATCACTTTGGATGCCCAGGGAGACAAAGCCATTTCTTTTTGGTCCTGATAAAAGCTCATACAGGGGCAAAATGTGCTCAGAGGCTGATGTTTACCACTTCTCCTCACTGTAGGTAAGAAGTCGGCAGCTCCTGAACAGACTTCTGCAACTGTATAGGCCACGGGAGGCCTGGGCTGCTGGTCTCTCAGACATTCGCTCACTGCCAGTTTTTTTCAAAGGGTGGCTCATTCCCAAGGTGCCAGGAAAGGCAAGTGGAATGAACAAGCCTCAGACACAGTATGATCTGGGGCAGTGTTGAAGGGCTGAACAAATCGGTTATTTGCAAAGGGAAGATGATTTTCACCATATCAGATCTGCCTCTTACTTGGGGAGTTTATAGCTTCTGAGCTACCTGAGGTTCTTTTGCTCTGAATCTGGCTGAGCTTGAGCTGGGTCAGCCTTTGCCGATTTTTTTTTTTTTTTCTTAATGATACGCTTGCTGGAAACCATTTGGTTTCCTTGACTATCCTTCCCCACCAAGAGGTCTGCTTTGCTTCTTCACTCAGCTGACCCCCAATTTTTTCCAAGGAGGCTGTGAAAGACATCTGTTTATATTTTCTTTTTGTATTTTCCCCCTGAGCCCTCTCCCCCCCTCCCTTGGTCATGGGTCTGTCCCTCATACAGCACCCTCGCATTGCCTCAGGGGTGGGCCCATGATTCAGGCAGACCAGCAGGGAGACTTATTCTCTTTTTCTGGGTTGGGCGTATGATGGAAGCAGGGCCAGTAAGATTCCTATTTGGAGGGACTGAACTGGATATTTGAAGAGGGATGGCTCCTCTCATTTTGAGAATCCAGGTCCTAAGAAGGCAAGGTGAGCTGAGACACGGAGGAAAAAAAGAGACTTTTGTTTGAACCCTTAATCCATCCCTACCTGCAGCCCTCCTTGGTCTTTCCAGGAACATGAGTCAAGAAATCCCTTCTCCCACCTAAGCTAGTATGAGCTGGGATTCTGTCGTCTGTAACCAGAGGAGTGCTCACTATCCAGACACAGCCGAGACCACGTCATACAGGACTAACTCATATCCAGACACAGCCGAGACCACGTCATACAGGACTAACTCA